CTGGAACACTCCAACAAACCTGAGGCAGAGATGTTGGCCAATGGTGGTGTGTGGAAGTAGCAGGCATACAGGAGCTTGGGATCATTTTTGTGGGCAGAACGTAGGTGTTCCACAAAGCAGTTGCCCAGTCTGCATTTTGTCTCTCCAGTGTAGAGGTGACCACATTGTGAAAAGCGAATCTGGTAGTCCAGATTGAATGAAGTGCAGGTTTCTCCTGGAAGGTGTGTCCGGGAGCTTAGATCATGAGGAGGGAAGAAGTAAATAGACAGATGTTACACCTTCTGGGATTGCATGGGAAGGTGCCATGGGGCTATGGGAGGTGATAGGAGTGGAGGAAGAGTGGATCACAGTGTCCTGGAGGGAACGGTCCCTGCTGAATGCTGACAAGGGGGGGGAGGGGAATATGTAAACAAAGCTTTTCACTGTACTTCGGTACACGTGACAATAAATCAATCAATCAATCAATGTGTCTGGTGGTTGCATGCCACTGGGCATGGCGGAAATGGCAGCTAATGACCCTTTGAATGAGGAGGTTAGTGGGGTGGTAGGTAAAGGCCAGAGGGAGATCATCACTGTTGTGGGAGGAAAGAGAAGGGGTGAGGGCAGAAGTGCAGGAAATGGGCCACACATAGCTGAGGCCTTATCTGTCTTTGTGTCTTTCTGGGCTCCCTCTCCCATTGTCAGCATTAATACCACTTTTCCCTAGCTACTATCAGTTCCGAAGAAGGGTCGCTGGACCCAAAATTTTAACACTGCTTTCTCTTCACAGACATTGCCAGACCTGCTGAGTTTCTCCAGCAATTTTTCCAGCCTCTGCAGTTCTTTGTTTTATTATATTATAAATTCAAATGATTATCTTAAGTTGGTTCTCCGTATAGTTAGCGACACAGTAAAGATTGGAAGTTGTGATTCTGTGATTGGGCAGCACTTGCTGAACAGTTACAAGTGTGCAAATAGCTACACAAACAGTTCCTTTAAGATAATTAGCATTATCTAGCAACTTCTATGGCATAGATTTTCACCTTTCCAGATATTAATTCAGTTCCAGGATCTGCTGCTTGGGACCCCCAACATCCAGCAACAATGTATGAGCTAAGCAACCAATTGAATTAAAGAATTCTCACAGACAGCAAACTAGAGCATTAAGCAGTGAATCCATCATCTTTTACTCATGTCACAGGGAGTGAAAATAAAAGATGGCATTGGATTGAAGTAGAAGCTGAAATACCATAGGAAATTTTTAAAAATAAATGGAATTGTTTTACCATAGTGGATTAAGATTGACATTTCCCAATGATAGAATTAATATTTTCAGAAGTAATTATGATTCAGTGCATCTTCAAAAACCCAATTACACCTCATTCAATAAGGAGCAACTTTTTCAAGAGTTTTACAGTGAGATTGACAACACAAACAGAAGAGTTTCACAGCAAATTAAGTAATTTCCCAAGATTTCTGCTTGCAAGAATATCATCTGCATATCCTGGAGGAGAGAGATCTATCTGAATTTTCACACTGCACTAGGTGTAGGTGGATACCAGAAACCACTGTCAGTTTCAGAGTGTAATGACCGCAAATGCTGGCAGTTTCACTGTTGCTTCAACCACAATGCCTGGGTTATTATAACTGTATGATTTTTTTTTTTGTTGCACACTACATCAGCATGAACATTAATGCAGTCACCAACCAGACAAACAAAAGGTCTTGAGATTCTGTAATGTATTTAGTGACCACCAGGTGTCTCAAAGAGCTTCATCACCAACAAAGCGCTTTTTGAAGCATTGTCACAGATGGAAAGTTTTCACGCAGCTGCTCAAATCATGTTGGTTTAGGAATATATATTGATCAGCACAAATACATATATATGGTTTAGAATCATTTGTAGGCCATTTGGCCCCTCAAGCCTGCTACGCTATTTGATAAGTCATCTCTGATCTCATTTTGCTATGAGCACAGCTCCTTAGCATAATGCGTAATATTTTATGATATTGCTGTCCATCCAACAATGCAACACTCCCTCAGTATTGATCTCCTACTGAACAGCACACCTTTAGTGCTGACCTTCTGAAAATGCAGTGCTTTATCAGTATCACCCTCCAACAGTGCAGCATTCCCTCAACACTGACCCTTGGACAGTGCTGCATTCTCTCAGTACTGACCCTCTGGCAGTGTTGCACTCCCTCAGTACTGACCCTTTGACTGTGCAACACTACCTCAGTAATGATGCTCTGACAGTGCTACACTCCCTCCACACTGATCAGTGCTCCCTCCACGCTGACACTGCAACAGAGCAGGAGACCCTCAGTACTGGCTCTTTTACTGCACAACATTCCCTCAATACTGATCCTTCTATAGAGTGGAATTCATTCAATACTGGCCAACTGATGGTGCAGCACTCTTGCAGTAATGGAATCTGACAGTACAGTACTCCATCAGTATTGACATCTGACAATGCACTACCTCTGTGCCTTGGCCATGGTTTCTCTGCTAATTGCTACTATTTGTGAAAGTGAGGTGCTCAATGTCTCAAATAGTAAGACTGGCTCAGTGATTATGTTGCTCACTCCTCGATATATGCACCATGGTGGCAAAGTGTACCATCTATATGATGTACAACATCAAATCTCTCTCAAAGGGTCCATCAAGTCCTCTAGCCCTATCATGTAGAAGGACAAGGGCAGCACATACATGGGAACACCATCACCTGTGAGTTCCCATCTAAGCCACTCACCGTCCTGACTTGGAAATTTATCGCTGCTGCTTCAGTGTCAATGTGAGCTGCTTTCTTGAATGGTCTGTTACTGGAGTGTAGCTATACCCACAGTGCGGTTAGAGGACAAGTTCCAGGATTCTGAGCTTGCAACTGTGAAGGACCAGCAGTATATTTCCAAGTCAGGATGGTGTGTGACTGGAATGGGAGCTTGCAGGTGGAGACATAGAGAACAAAGTTCGATGAACAGTACAGCACAGGAACTGGCCCTTCAGCCCACCAACCTTGCGCGAATACTTTACGCCTTTCTACACCAAAAATCTTATGCCACTATGCAGTCTTTATCCCTCTATTCCCTGCCTATGCATGTATTTGTCAAGATGCTTCTTGCTATCACATCTGTTCCTACCACCTCCTCCGGCAGCGCATTCCAGACATTTACAACCTTCTGTGTAAAAAACTTGCCTTTCACATCTCCTTTAAACTTTCCCCCTGTTACATTCGACTTGTGTCCTCTAGTAATTGACATTTCAACTCAGGAAAAAGACTCCAAATACCCATTCTATCCATGCCTCTCATAATTTTGTAAACTTTGATCAGGTCACCCTTCAGCCTCCGATGTTCAGGTGAAAACAAATCAAGTTTGTCCAATCTCTCCTCATAGCTAATATGCTCCAAACCAGGCAATATCCTGGTAAACTGTTTCTGTGCCTTCTCCAAAGTCACATCCTTCTGGTGCTGTGGCAACCAGAACTGTATACAATATTCCAAATGTGGTCTAACTAAAACTAACTGCAACATGACTTGCTAATTTTTCTACTCTGTGCCCTGACTGATAAAGGAAAGCATGCTATATGACTTCTTAACCAGCTTATCCACTTGAGTTGCCATTTTCAGGGAACTGTGGACCTGTATGCTCTGTATGTTATTGCTTCTAATGGCTCTGCCATTTACTGTATTAGACCTTCCAAAATGTATTTGTCTGGATTAAATTCCATCTGCCATTTCTCAGTCCAAGTAACCAGCCTATCTATATCCTGCTTTATCCTCTAGCAATCCTCCTCACTATCCCCAGCTCCCCCAACCTTTGTTGCATCCGCAAAGCTGCTAATAAGACCATCTAGATTCTCCTCCAAATCATTTATATATATTGCAAACAACAGGGGACCCAGCACTGATCACTGTGGAACACCACTGGTCACAGATCTCCAGTCAGAAAAATGCTCTTCCATCATTATGTTCTGTCTTCTATGACTAAGACAGTTCTATGTCCATCTTATCAGCTCACCACAGATCCCATGTGACTTTACTTACTGTATCAGCCCGCCATGAGGGACCTCCTCAAAGATCTTGCTAAAGTCCACGTGGACAACATCCATTGCTCTGCCCTCATTAATCATGTTCCATGAAACAACTGCCCTTGTCCTTTTACATGGTAGATGTCACAGACTTGGAAAATGCTGTCAAAGGAGGCTGGTGAGTTTTTGCAGTGCATCTTCTGGATGGCACATACTACTGCCACTGTGCACTGATAGCAAAGTGAGTGAATGTTGAAGGGGATCGCTGAGGTGCCAATCAAGTGGACTGCTTTGTTCTGGATATCGTCAAGCTACTTGAGTGTTGTTGAAACTCCACCCATCGAGGCAAGTGGGGAGTATTCCATCACACTCCTAACTTAGGCCTTGTCAACAGTGGACACGCTTTGAATACTCAAGAGACTTGTTTCTGTGTACAATCTTTCTCTCTAGTGTAAGGTGTAACACTCACAGCTTGGTCAAGAAGGCTGTGTGTTCAAATTATAGTTAAGAGAAAGAAACACAGAAATCTGGGTTGGGGCTCCCTGTCACTTGTGCATTCATTATGTGTATGTGGTCAGCATTAACTGGGAAATGACCTGTGATCCTGTATATTTGAACAGACTGAAATGGCAGCCTTTGGATTACGAGGTGTATGTTTTGCTTTATATCTCTCACATAAATGCACAAATATATATAAAGATTGGCTCCAATGTTATCCTTCATTACTCGGCTTCAGGAATATACAAACATATAAATTAGGTGCAGGAAAAGGCAATTCAGCCCCTCCAGACTCTGCTGCCGTTTGATAAGATCATAGCTGATCTGGTTGTAATTTTAAATCTGCATTCCCACCTACCCTTGAGAACCTTTAATCATCTTGCTTATCAAGAATCGATCTACCTCTGTTTTGAAAATACTCAAAGCCTCTGCTTTTCAGGAACATAGAATCAGGAACCCTGTGGTACTAGATTGAAGAGTAGCAAAATAATCGAGACGCACTGCAGAAAACAAGATCCTGGTGTTTGTGATTATAAAGTACTTTGTGGCTGGAAAGGCTCTGGGATGCCCCGCGGTTGTGAAAGGCGCTACAGAAAGGTAGGTCCTTTCTCTGTATGCTTACCGAGCATTTTCACCGTCTGCTTGTTGTTCTTCTCTCTGCTGCTGATGCTGGGTCTAACGCTCTCCCTCTTGCGTCGCCACAGTTTCCTCCCAATTAAGCTGTAGAGTATTGAAAGGCAGAAGACGGGCAGGAAGAAGAAGATGCTGGACACCCACACCATGATATTCAGGAGGCCAGACTTGACAGCGTACTCCGTGGCTTTGCACTCGTTAGTCAGCAGGGGGTCAGTTCCATTCATGTGCTCGACCCCAACCAAGACAAAGATGGGCCCCGCACTGACAAACGCCACTGACCAGAGGAAAAAGATGAGACCTTTGACCCTGCCCTTAGTGATGACCACTTTGGCCTTGAGTGGGAAGCAAATGGCAAAGTATCTCTCTACACTCAAGGCCGTGATGTTGAGAATTGTGGAGTAAGTGCAACTCTCACTGACAAACTGGAACAGCTTACAGAGCAAACTGCCAAAGTTCCAGGGCCTGTACTGCCAAATCCTGTACAAGTCCAAGGGCATGCACACAAAGATGAAGAGGTCGGAGAAAGCCATACTGGATAGGTAGAAGTTAGTCGTGGTCCTCATCTCTTTGAACTTTAGCACAATCAGGATAGTCATGGCATTCCCGCTGATGCCAATCAATGCCAACAGAATGCAGGTAACGGTGATTCCAGTCAAGATAGGAATGGGGAAGAGATTGACAGGATAATCGGAGTAACCATCGAAATAGTCCATGTCGTAGAGGCTGCAGTTCTGACTACAGTTCATGTTGGTGGAATGGTTGGACATGCTGCTAACACAACATGGGCTTGGGGTAATTGGCAGGAAGTCCGAGTGCTCTGTCAGACTGCATGGGCGAGACTGTTAGAAGTCCTCACCATCTCAGCACCCAAAGGAAGTTAGGAGAGCGCAGGAAACTGAAGACTGGACCAATCTGCCGAATCCCAGAGCTGGGAACATCTTCTGGCCACATTTTATCTACAAAGGAGAGGAGGGAGAAAATTACCATTCACAGCCAATGTGGTGCCAGGCACTTGGTCTGCCCAGAAACAGTGTCTCTCAATCTCTCTCTTTCTCCACAAGTTTCTTTCCTTTTCATGTCTCTGTCTGAACCTCTTTAATTACCTACATCCATATCTTTCTTTCCATCTTTCTCTACCCCTGCAGTTCCCTGTCACTGATGTCTCTATCACTGGCTCTATCACTCTCCGTAGCTCCCTGTTCTTCTCCTGTACTTTGTCCATGGGTAATTATGTTCCTCTTTGTCGTACTTCCCTCAGTTCAAGAATTGCATTTTACAGGCACCCACCCATCGTCCCAGACCCCGTTCCCTGCACGGCAGAGTTCCTGTCTTCCCAGGCTATGGACTCCCTTCAGATCCAAGAAAACTTCTCATATTCCCCAAACAAAATCCAGCTCAGAAATGAATCGAAATCCTGCGCAGAGTCTGTGGTTGTTTTATTTCCCTCAGACAAAAAGAAAGATTGAGAAAGAGAGAGAGGAGAGGCGCGCTCAAAGAGAAACCCAAATTCAAGCCAGAGAAAGAGGGGCAAATAATACCTTAGGCTGACTCATAGAAATAGAGGGACAGAGAGAAAATTAGGCTAAAGCAGAGCGATAGAGTGACAGAGGGAGACCGAGGCTAACACAGAGAGAGAGGGAGAGACTGAGGCTAACACAGGGAGAGAGAAAGACTGAGGCTAACACAGAGACAAAGACAGAGAGAAATTGAGGCTAACTCAGAGGAAAAGTGAACAAGGCTAACACAGAAAGACAGAGAGATTAAGGCTCACAGAGAGAGAGAGAGAGACAGACAGACAGAGGCTCACATAGAGAGAGAGAGACTGAGGCTAACACAAAGAGAGAGACAGAAACAGAGAGAGACTGAGGCTAACAGAGAGAGAGAGAGAGAAATTGAAAGAGAAAGAAACAGAGGTTAACATGCAGAAAGAGAGAAGCAAGTACACAGGGACAGAAAGAGAGAGAGGCAATAAGATAGAGACCGAGACACTGACAGACAAAAACAATAATCCAGGAACAGAGACAGAGTTACTGGAAAGCTCACATCGAAAGTTAACAAACAGGGATATTCATCAGATAATAAGCAATCATGATAAACATACTGAAAATAATCAAAAAAGTTGCCAAAAATGAAAACAAATGAAGTTAGTAGTCAAATAATAAAATTATTGATAATAATTAAAATTAAACATTAGCAAAGTAAAAAAAAACAGCAGTGAAAAAGAAGCAATAAATCTCTCAGATAGAGATGCTGAAAAGGTCACTCTCTGTTCTGAGTACTGAAGGATTCTTACCTTTTGTCCAGATTTTAACTGGCCCTTCGGTCCACTTTTCTCTCTGAGCATGAATGGAAATCCATTGAAACACTAAATAAGTGGTTGTTTTGTGCGAAATGGTTACTGGAGGAGAACCACAAAGAGAAAGGAACACGAAGCAGATTGCAGTCTCTCATTATCCCCCAACTGATAAACAGAGAGAGAGCTCTGCCCTGCTACAACCAACCAGGGAGATTGCAGTTCCTAACTGATAGATTCCCAGCTAACTCACACACAATTACTCAGAGAGACAGAGAGAGAGAGAGGGAGAGAGGAGGGGGGGGGAACAGTGGGGAGCAGGGGGAGGGGGAAAACACAGACTGTGCAGGTTAGTGTATAAACTGTCTGGTTATAAATCTTGGACAGCAGGTTTGGAGTAAGGCACAGCCTGGGGGTGGGAGACAAACTGTTTCAATGGATGGTTCCTCTTATTGGAGAGAAAGTTACAAAGGAGAAATGACTGACGTTTGACAGATCAATTTCACTAGGTTTTGTCAAAAAAGAGCTAAATTGCCTGGGCTGCTGCAAACAACATTGGCAGGTCTCCCAATTTCCCCTAACTTGAAGATAAAAGCAGAAAAAAAGGACTGCAAATATTGGAATTCTGAAATATAATTCTTAAAGGGTATGCAAGAACAGAGAGACCTAGGGTTCATGTGTGTAAGTCATTAATGTTGGCAGGATAACAGGGAGTCAGCTGTTAAAAATACATACAGTATTCTGGGCTTCATAAATAGGGGAATAGAGTACAAGATCAAGGAGATGATGCTTAACTTGTAAAGACACTATTTCGGCCTCAGCTGGAGTACTGCATTCAGGTCTGGGAAGAAGGTAAGGCATTGGAGAAAGGTTTATGAGAATGAAGCCAGGGATGAGGCACTTCAGGTATAAGGATAGATTGGAGAAGCAGGGACTGGTTTACTTTAAAACCATGGCAACACAGTGGCTCTGTGGTTAGCACCACTGCCTCTCAGTTCCAGGGTCCTGGGTTTGATTCCAGCCTTGGGCACCTCTGTGTATGTGTGTGTGGAGTTTACACATTCTCCCCTGTGTCTGTGTGGGTTTCTGCCAGGTGCTCTAATTTCCTCCCACAGTCCAAAGATGTGCAGGTTAGCTGGATTGACTATGTTAAATGTAGGGTGGGGAAGAAGTGTGTGCACAGACTGAACAGAGAGAAAAGGTTCCCACTCATAGAACTTTAAGTATGAGAGAGGACAGATTCAAAGTAGTTCGTAAAAGAAGCAAACTTGATTTAGTGAAATATTTTCCATGCAGCAATATGGTTAGAGTCTGGAATGGACTGCTTGAGAGTGTGGTGGAGGTAGTTACAATTAATTGGGGCTTTCCAAAAGGAATTAAATTATTTGAAAAGGATGGAGAGAAGACAGAAGAAAGACATGAGGTGAGATGTTCATTTCCTGATGGTCTCAATGGTCTCCTTCTGTACTTTAACAATTCTGTGATTCTTTATACAAAAGATAAATTGCCAGCGAAACTCAGCAGGTCTAGATGCATCAGTGGAGTACCACTGGGCTGTTAATCTGGATGATTCTAGATTTACAACAATGCGGTTGACTCTTAACTGCCTACTGACGAGGGCAATTAGGGATAGGCATCAAATGCTGGTCTTGCCAGCAACAGCTTGAAAGAATAAAGGGAAGAACTCTCCTTTTCCCTGTCTGCCACTCACACACACATAACAATGCAGGCAGTCAGAGATAGCTTTGTACAAGCGCACATGCAAGTAGACAAATATCGCAAATTCCATGATTTTAACGTAGCTTGCCTAACAGAAATGGACCCTTCTTCTAAGGAAGAGTCACTGGACCCAAAACATTAACTCTGATTTCTCTCTACAGATGCTGCCAGACCTGCTGAGCTTTTCCAGCAACTTCTGATTTTGTTTCTGATTCCCAGCATCTGCAGTTCTCTCAGCTTTGAACAGAAATGGAAGCAGTTTATGGCACCTTTTCACACCTTGTCTGATTTTAATGCTAAGTAATTTTAGATTCACAGTCATTGAGAGATACAGTCGAGCAGTGAGACCCAGGATTTTGTCCCAGTGACACTGAAGGAACAAGTTAGAATGGTGTGTGGCTTGGAGGTGAATTTCAAGGTGGTGCTGTTCTCGTGTATCTACTGTCCTTGACATTCTGGGATGTGTTGGTTATGGGTTTGGAAGGTCCTGTCTAAGGAGCTTTGTTAACCTTCACACCATGGCAGATGACAGTCATGCAGCGAACAATGCATTTCAAACACGGTGTCTTCAGATGGTATAGGTTGCTGATGATTGAAGAGCTGATGTTTAATGAATACGTTCAGCTATGTG